CCTCCTCGTCCTCCTCCTCCTCCTCCTCCTCCTCCCTACCCAACCCATCTCTAACTTCTCCGCTTTCTCCCTCCTCTCTCTCTCCTGGTCCTCTTACTTGAGCCCGTCAACCCCGACAAGCACGTCTCCAATGCACAGGCCCGCCTCGCTCGCTGGTCGATGTTTCTTGACCTCGTAAACCTCGAAGCCAACGCTGAGCAAGGGAAGCGAGTCAGACGGCAACAGGAGGAGCAGGAGGAGCAGGAGGAGCAGGGGAGGACCGGGAAGGAGGGACTGAGGAGGAGAGGACTGAGGAGGCGAGGACTGGGGAGGAGGAGAGGCGAGAGGCGGGGAGACCAGAGGGAGGAGGGTGAGAGGACGGCAAGAGAAGCTGGAGGGTCCTTGCCTCTTCTGCGGACGACGGAGAAGTACGAGCCCGAGGAAGAGGTTGCTGACTACTTGCTCTCCTACGAATCTTTTCAGCGAACGAAGAGGGGAGCACGAGTCTAGGGAGCAGGAGCAGGAGCAGGAGCTGGAGCAAGAGCAGGAGCAGGAGCAGGAGCAGGAGCAGGAGCAGGAGCAGGAGCAGGAGCAGCATAGTAAAGCAAGAGATGTCTGGGGCAGATGCCAGAGCAGAGGCCGAAGCAGGAGCAACCGAACTGACCCGCAGAACGTAGGAGGGGAGGGCGGGGGATAGAAAGGGACGGGGATTTGTTGTTCTCCTGTTTCGAAACATATAAATCAGAGCGAAACAACGTGTGATCTTTGATGAACATGATGCAAGTTTCTCATTCGATGAGGTCAAACAAAAAGTACTGAAACACGGTCCTCCACCATCAACCTACACTTATTTCGTGCATCACCACAAATCACGGCAAGTTTATCTCCTTTCCTCTCCCTCCACCTTTCCTCTCCCTCCACAACTCATCTTACCATCATACGTTGAGAGCTCTGCAAGACAGCAACATCAAAGTCGTGGGCGACATTGCTCCTTCGGATCGTCAGCACCGTCACATTATCAACCCTGTAGGTTCAGCTCAGCGGCACAAGTCAACAAACTCCCATCATCTCACGCTGTTTCCAATAACACTACGAGCTCATCGAGTTTCAGCTTCTTGTCCATGGTCTCTTCTATGATGGAATGTCCGTTTACCTACATCCAAGTTCAACAACAGGGCTCCTTTCCATTCTCCTTCCCCTCTCCTCCCTCTTCACTTACCGCAACGATCTCGTCCCCATTTTGGAGCATCCTCGTTTTGTCTGCCGGCCCATCCCTCTCCACAGACACGATCTTGACTGTCCCTTCCTCGACATGCGCCTCCATCCTCAGCCCAAGTCGGTTGGACTTGCAGATAGGAGATAGGACAACTTTAGACTCCACGGAAGATATGTTGAACGACTCCTCGTCGATGTTCAGGTTGATCACTGCCCCTCCCCTGAGCACGATGAGCTTCATGGCTGCTCCTCCGGGGTTGCGGAACAGCTCTGAAGCATCGCAGCGTCGCATCTGGTCGAGCGTGACGCCATTGACGGACCAGATGCGATCTCGCCGATGGAGAATGCCGTTGCGAGCGAGCGGCGAGTCGTCCGGGATGGCTGCGACTTCAAAGGTGAAGTCGGGCATGTGCTGCAGAGAGAGTCCAAGGCTGCCCTTGACTTTGATGATGCTTCCCTTGGGCTCCTTGAGGTGCGACCGCTGAATCTCGACGATGAAATTGTACACATTGATGTCGTCAACTCTACGAGCTAGCCCCAGCTTCACCATCGTCCCGACATGCCCCACCATCATCTGCTGGATGTCGTTCTTTGACAGCTTGGAGACATCTACACCGTCGATAGACATGAGGTGGTCGCCTACATTCACTCGCTCGTCGTAGAAGCATGGCCCTCCCACCACAATCTGCGTCACGAATACATCGTTGTCGACTTCACCCAACTTCAAGCCAATGCCTGTCTTCAGAGATACATGCTTGTCTGCATGAGACGATTGAAACTGCTTTGATGTCTGGATCATCTTGCGCTGGAATGATACTTCCTCGCCTGCCTCGCCTGTGACTTCGTTGGGCTCACACTATCTCAATGCTTCCAACATGCTATGGTACCATTGTCTCCTTCGCAACATTGTTTCTCCTACCTCTCTCTCTTCGTCGTCGTATCAGGTCCTTCTCCTGCCTCCCTCCATCTCATGCTCCCTCGTCCTCTACCCCCGCCATGGTATCCTATTCACAACCTTTCGACCCATTTGACCCCTACCCCATCAAATATCTAAAAGTACCCGGTAGATTTCCATTGCAATACAACCCACCCTCTAGCCCCTATAACTACCCGGTCCCACAATCGGAGGGATTTGGTACCCTCATCCCCTCATTGACCTCTCTCAGCAGTGACCTCATTGTTAAGTTATTAAACGATCCACCCACAACTTTACTAGTTTGTATGATAAAAGATCAGTCAACATGCTTTTTAGTTTTTGATTTGGTCCTTTATTACCTGCAAATGTTTTATAAAATGTTTTATGGTCGATTGTTGGTAGATCTTAAAACTACTAGTTGCCCATAGGCAAGATCTATTTCTGGGACGTGGGGACGTGCCGCGATGTAGAGGAATGGCCAAACATGCAGTATGTAGACGAGCATGCAGAGAAGAAGTGGGAGGTGTAAGAGATCAAAATGAGAGAAGGTACAAGATGAGAGCAGTTGATGTCGAAGGTACAGCGGTGTTGAAGGTGTTGCAGCGTTATTGAGCTATGCATAGTGTTTTACTGCAACAGAGTAATAAGGAGAAACTTCAGGACGTTTGGTCTAGCCATCTTGAAGTCTATTTGAGGGCAAAGACATTATTTTTTCTTGCTCGGATTTATTTTCCTATCATCGCGTTACTCTTCTTTTGGTGGCCCGGGTTTCTGACCTGCAATGGTGTGCATGCAGATGTTTGGCGATATCCGTACCCTCATGGCTCTCTCTGTAAGTTGCGTTTATCTTTGGCCTATTTTGCCCTGACAAGTTGCGCAGGACGACTTCTGTGACGCTTCGGGAGCTAACTGCTCTTCTACCGCCACTGGCTTCGGCACTGTGACCGTGCAGGACAGCTATGGCTCCGGTAGCGACATGTCCTACACCTGGACCACCTGCATCGATGAGTACCACGTTGCCACCGGCGACGTCGATCCCTGCGCCACTGCGTAAGCGGGTTGCCCTAGTCTTTTAAGTTAGCGGACATTCGGTGTATTAACTTGAGTTTCTAGTGTAGTGTTTTGAACACAATCACGCGCGGGTCTCTTGGGGTGTCTTTACTTTCCTTGGTCTTCTAGAGCAAGACTTGCTGCATCTGCAGCGGTTGGAGGAAAGGGATGAGGACAGCCTTGCTTACGAGAAATGTTGCGATCCCGAGGAAAATGCTGAAGGGAAGGGCGGGAAGAGCCTTGCGAAAGACTGCGAGACAGAAAAGAGTCAGGATGAGCCCCTGCGTGAAATGTGAGAAACATGAGGCAGTTTGACCGAAGATACGTCACCGTCAAGATCGCTAGAAAGCAAGTGACGACAGTGGTGAAATCGAAGATTGCTGCACGACCAATCAACACTGAGTAGAAGACAAAATCACCCAGGCCAAGCTTGACTCCTTTGTCATCTTCTGAGCTCGCCTCCGACACTGTGCTCGATTGGCTGCCCCCCCTCCCTGCTTCCATCTGTTGGACTGAATCACTTTCACGAGAGATCTCCCTGCGATTGCCAGCTGTGGCTGCAGCGGACTCTGTCTGCGCTGAAGCAGTAGCCTGTCCTGCACAACTTCCCCCCCCTTCGTCCTCCTGCCGCTGTCCGCCCTCACTCCCGGAGCCGTTCCTATGACGAAGAGGTGAAGGATTCGAGTTCCGGTTGGCACTGCTAGACCCTTGAGTTTGCACTAGGGAGGAGGAGGAGGAGGAGGCCTGCTGTTCTGAGCTTGACTGTAGCTCACGTTCTTGCCTGGATCTTCCTGCTCGCTTCTCCGGCGGTGCAGCCTCATACACCAGACCTGGGATGGCATCCCCTCGATCTTGAGAAAGCTCTACGAGAGCCTTGAGAGGTCCGCAGGGTGACAGCACGGCAAAGATGTCGTACACAGACAAGCCGAAGAGAAGCGCCCATGTCGTCCAGTCAGGAAAATACCTAGAGAGAACCCAGGCCATGATGCAGCTTGCGATGATCAAGTAGACTTGCTTCACAATTAGCGGCGACTTCCAGAAAACAACCAGCACCCCCATCGCCGCGAAGTTCGTCTGGAGGAACATGAACGAGTACACATCAATGGAAGGGAACCAGCCGGCTTGTGTTTTGCTCAGAGAGATGATCAGCGAGTATGATAATGCTCCGCCGCTGAAACCTAGAAGCATGGCAACGGAGAGCCCGAGCCAACCATAGAGAATCTTCATACAACGATACTTGTACAGGAAAAAGAATATGACAGTGAAGACCAGAATTGCCATCACAACGACTAGAGCATTTACAAGGGCCTTCAAGGCTCTTGTTCCATCTGCATCCGATGACTCTTCTCTGAATACTAGTAGGGGGATTGAATAGTCTCGTTTCGAAGCACCTCCTCCGTCATCTTGATGATCCACACCACCAGGATCATGGTCAAAGATACGGGCTTGAGGATGGACGTCACATGTGCTGCTGTGTAAACGAGCTCCTCTTCTACCTCCTCATCCTCCTCCCCTGTTGACCTCGTCCTCTCCTGCGCGTATGCTCTCTCTTCATCTGGACGATTTCTCCTCGCTTGAGAGGAGGGATGAGAGGAAGGGAAGGTAGAACCAGCAAGATCGTCAGCTGTCAACAGACTCCTCGTGTCGTCCTCTATCGATGATGCGTCTGATCCCGCCCTCCCCTCCTCCGCCATTGCGTTGCTGTCCCCTCCACCCTGTCGCAACCACCCTTGACAAATAACGAGTACCCGTGTAATTTACATGAGAATACCCCATCATTGTCCCTGCGGAAGGAACTAGAAATGAACCCTACCCCCACAATAAGACGTAGACTAGCAAACATACCAAGATGGGATCGATGGTTACAAAGTAGAGCGAATGCGAAGAGAGAAGACGAGAGGGAGACGAGAGGGAGACGAGAGGGAGAGAAGAGGGAGAGGAGAGAGGAGAGAAGAGGAGAGAAGAGAGGAGAGAAGAGAGGAGAGGAGAGGAGAGAGGAGAGGAGAGGAGGGGGAGGAGGAGGGAGAGGGAGGGGGAGGAGGAGGGAGGAGGGAGGGGGAGGGAGAGGGAGAGTGAGAGAGGAGAGGAGAGGAAGGAGGACGAAGGA